CTTGTTTTGGAGTCAGTAATGCAGGGACAGCACATGGTGACGTGCTTTCTCGAGTCAATCCCTTAAGCAAATCAACTTGTTTGTGCAACTCTTCATGTTCCATGGGGCCCATTCGATAATGGGCCAAATTTGGTATACTAGATTCAGGCACCAAGTCAATGTGATGCTGAATATTTCTCATTGGAGGAAGGCCATTAGGTAATTCTTCCGGCATCAAGTCTTTATGCTCCTCAAGTAGAGGTTCAAGAGACCTAGGAATTGCAATCCGTGCATAATTTTATTTTGCAAGCAACACATAAATCACATCCATATCCTTGCTGCCCTCTTTTAATTTTTGCACATTAAGCAACTTTGGATTCTCCTCTTAGTGGATTTGGATGTAGGAAGTTGCTCTATAGGGTGGATTGTGATATTAATACCATCCTTGACAAAAGAATAAGTGTTTGGTCTAGTTTTATGTACCATATCATGATCATAAAGCCATGGTCTACCAAGTAATATGTGACATGCATCTATTGGTGCTACATCGCACCCCAGTTCATGTTTATAATTAGTACCAATGGAAAAAGAGATTAAACATTGAGGAAGAACTTGTACCTCACCTCCTTTCTTGAACCACTGGATGTGATATGGGCGATGGTGCTTATGCTCATTTAATTGAAGTTTATCCACCATCTCTTTAGACACAATGTTTGTATTGCTCCCACCATCAATTAGTATTGTGCTTAACTTGCCTCCTGATGTGCAAGTTTTAGGAGTATTGTTGGTGATAGCATATCTCAGTGGGACCTCGCTTTGCCCAGGCTGAGTTTGCTTACAACAGTTCATTAAATCGGTCTACAGGAAATCACCATTTGAGATTGTTAATGGGTGGACTCTTAGTCATGTGTTGGACCTAGTGCCGTTACACATGCTATGTATGATAAGTGATAATGCCAATGCTTTTGCTGAGCATATTCGAGATTTGCAAGCTCAAATCAAGAAGAAAAATGAGAAAAGCAATGCAAAGTATCGAAAAGCCTCTTTTGAGTGTAGAAGAGAGAAATTTTCAAGGAGGGTGACTTAGTAATAGTGTATTTGTGAAAGGAGAGGTTTCCATTGGGAACCTATAATAAACTCAAGTCCAAGAAGGTGGCCCATTGCCGCATTTTGAAGCAATATGGGAACAATACATATAAGGTGGAATTACCAAAGGTATTGGATATCTTCCCAATATTTAATGTTGCTGACTTATTGAGTTTCGTGGAGACCCTCTAGAAGTTGAAGAGGAAGTAGTTGATTTGATGAAGCAATTAACAAGAAAGAAAGATGAGGAAGTTGAACAAGTTTTGAAGATTGAAAGCTTTCAAACCAATATTTTAAAATTCGGCCGCATCGCCTCATATGCGGTCGCATCATACGGGATGCGCTCGCATCTGCATCAGAAACAGGCGTATATGCGCTTTTGACAGATGCGGCCGCATATGCGCCGCATCAGGCCGCATATGCACCGCATTGTAGCCGTATACCGCATCGCACCTCGTCCCACTGTTACAGTGTTTGTCGAATGTTTTTTCTGTTTTGCCCTCGAGAAGGGGTAAAATGGTCGTTTTGACCATCCAAATGTTGGGGAAACTGTTTGGGGGGGGTATTATGGGCCCTAAACGAAGATTTTCTGCCACTTTTGTGGTGTTTTTGCATCAAATCGAGGTAAAAAATTTAGGCGGAATTTTTTTTATTGAAATCTTCGATTTGGCGGTTGTTTGATACTTGGATGTTCATTGAATGCCTTTGATTGCTGATTTGGAGATGTTAGGGTGAATTTGTGATAAAAAATCGGGGGTTTCAGAGGTGGTAAAGAAATCGAGCAGTACTTCGCAGAGTCGGTAAATTTCTTTTCCTTCTTGTAGAATATTACTATTATACATATTTTTGGGACAATATCTTCTTCCCAATCTTCTAGTAATAAAGATACGGCTTGAAAATATGCTAAACTAAAAAATCCCAAAGATAGAAATTGTGTGATATGCTTGCTCTGTGGAAATACTTATATGGGTGGATAACTGAATATAGAATCTCCGATAGCTGATAGTTTTGAAGTTAGTCATTAAACTAAAATACCTACTATCACATATTTCACCTTCATATTTTTTTCTTTGCATTAAATTATTTTTTAAAATTTTTTAGAATTTTTTTAAATTTATTGACCACATCATCGCGATGCACCCGCATTCGGGCCCCCACTGCATCAGGGCCGCATCCCACATTTTAAAACACCCTTTCAAACTCGAAAGGGTTCTTATCGCCAATATCTAGTCAAATGGAAGGGTAGGCCATACTCTGCTAGCAAGTGGATTTTTGAGCAAGAGTTCAAAAGGTGGATCCAGACTTATACCGTATCTATAGTGAAGCCAACTCGCTGGATTCGAGTTCTTTTCGACTGGGGGGAATGATGCAACCATGCCTCAGCCTATAGTTTGTGGCTGGGCCAAGAAGGGTCGTAGAACCCAAGAGGGAAAGAAAGGGGCAATGATGTAATAAGGGGGATTAATAGGGTTATTTTAATTTTTTATTCTTTTGTTTATTTTTCTTAAGAATAGGGAGTGCGCATGGATAATTAGGTGGGCATGAGTTTACCTTGTGCTTGATATTGATCAATTGGGTTGGTTAGTTTGAGGAATATAAATAGGATAAGTATAAATCTAGAGGGTTTATCTTTTCAACAATAACCAACATTGGGAGGCTTTGGGTAAAACGTGTGCTAACTATTTTAGAAGCAAATCTTTGGCACGTGAAGTTAAGAGAGAGAAAATAGGGAGAAGAGATAGAGTAGGTAAAGTCCGTGTGTAGAGTTTTTTTTTTTTGCTTAGTTATTGTTTATCTTCTATTTAGTCTATTTAAAGAAAAATCTCTCTTCGTTGTAAATCAGCGAATGAGTTGAATAGAATTTGGTCTCGTGAAGAAATTGTTTTGGGGTGGATTCCCATGCAGACCTTTGTGAGAGGATATATTCTATCAACCTTTCTTTTTTTTATTGTTATTTTTCTGCTTTTATTTTCTCCCTGCATCAGTTAGTTTTGTGCATAACTTGTCTCCTAATGTGCAAATTGTTCGAAAAGTATTGTGTTGCAGCCACTTCTCTTCCTCACTAAGTCTTGGGGTTGATAGCATGCTTCGCTAGACAACTAAGGCTTCACCCCTTTCATCTCCATATGACTCCTCAATCTCACCTTTGAAAGGCTCAGTCCCTTCATAAAACTGGCTCGTCCCATTATCATCATGGCCTTCATGGGTGTATCCCTCATCGACTTCAATTTCATAATTTTCTTTTGCGAATTGAACTTTGACCGGAGGTTGACGTGAGGAGCAATTGAATGCTCTATGCTCAGGCTGTTGACACTTGAAACACACAATTTGTGTATCATCATGAGGTGTTTTAGGTGCTCCCAGCCCTCTTCCAACACCACCTCTCCCCATATTAAGGTTTGGCCTAGTTGGGAAACTCTGAGAGGTTTGGTTTGCACCCCCCATAGGTGGTCTTCTAAAGGTTAAAGCTTGCTGCCCCTATGTTGAATTAAAGCCTCTTGTCACTACGCTTTTTCTCCCAAGGCCCAGATTGATTATTTCCTCTGCTTTGAGGGCCAATGTATAAGCATCAGACATCTTATAGACATCTTTGAAGGCCAATTCATTCTGAATGTCTTGATTTAGCCCATTCAAGTAGCGACTTATTTTTTGATCTTCATACTCATGTAAATTTTCCCTAGATGTGAAAATATAGAACTTTTCAGTATAGTTACTTACCGACTTTTCACCTTGCTTGAGGTTTTGACATCTTTGGTACAAAGTTCGAGCATAATTTACTTGTAAAAATTTTCGGCGCATCTTCGTCTTCATCTTTTCCCACGATTTAATTTTTTCCTTGCCTTGTTGAAGACGATCCTGTTGCAAATTGTCCCACCAAACCAATTCATGGCCAGAAAATTTTGTGGTTGCTAATTTTACTTTTTTGTGATTTGCAATATCTTTGTTCTCAAACAATTTCTCTTCTTTACTTAGCCAATCAAGATAATCATCTGCATGCAATCGACAATGGAACTCTGGAATATCAATTTTATTTCAGGTTCTCTTTCTCTTTCCAACAACCGAAGAATTCGTTCATTGAATTCGTCACTAATCGGGGCCACCCGAGGTTGGTTAGGAACAAGATGCATACCTCTTTCATCTCTGTTGCCTTGAGTTCCAACACCGGTCTTCGGATTCTTTCCATGCGGAAGCTGAGTGAACTTTTGCGCAAGCTCATCTACTTTCTTAGCTATGGGCATGAATTTGTCTACTCTCTCTGCTAGGGCTTGAACTACTTTAATCGATAACTTTAATCCATCGAGGGGTGTCTCTTTTAAAGCCATTAGAACTTCGCTCTGATACCAATTGATGCAAGGAGAAAATAAAAGTAGAAAACTAATAATAAAAAGCGAAAGGTTGAGAGAATATACCCTCTCTCAAAGGTCTGCAAGGGAATCCACCCCAAAACAATCTCTTCATGAGACCAAATTCTATTAAACTCATTTACTAATTAACAATGAAGGGAGATTTCCCTTTAAATAGACTAACAAGAAGATAAACAATAACTAAGCAAAGAAAAACCTCTCTCTACACTCGGACTTTTCTTACGTTATCTCTTATCCCTATTTTCTCTTTTAACCTATTTTCTCTCTATTAACTTTACGTGCCAAAGATTTGCTTCTAAAATAGTTAGCTCACGTTTTACCCATAGCCTCTCAACGTTGGTTATTGTTGAAAAGTTAAACCCTCTAGATTTATCCTTATCCTATTTATATTCCTCAAACTAACCAACCCAATTGATCAATATCAAGCACAAGATAAACTCATGCCTACCTAATTATCCCTGCGCACTTCCTATTCTTAAGAAAAATAAACTACAGAATAATAAAATAAAATAATTAAAATAACCCTAATAATCCCCCTTATTACATCATTGCCCCTTTCTTTCCCTCTTGGGGCCTACGACCCTTCTTGGCCCAGCCACGAACTATCGGCTGGGGCATTTGCTGCATCAACGTCTCTTATTAAAATCGGAGACTCACATCTGGGCTTGCCTTAGTCGGCTTCAACTTTGTGGTGAATCCCAAGGAAAACTCTCGACTTCACCTGTGATCGGTGTTCTGCCGAGTCCCATTTGGATCCCCATTGTGTTTAATGAATCCAGCTGGATCCCCATTGTGTTTAATAAACACTGCTGAAGAAGGAGGAGGAGGAGGAGGAGGAGTAGTAGTAGCAGTAGCAGCAGCAGCAAGAAGATGCAGAAGAAGCAAGAAGCACGAAGAACGAAGAACGAAGAACGAAAGAAGAAAGAACAAGCAAGAATCCATGTGGTTGCCACTTTAGTCTCTGACTCCATTCTCACCAAAGGGTAGGGGTCCAAATCCCCACCGACTTACCACTTTAGTTTATGACCGTGAGGATGGTGAGCTTGTGCTGCAGCCATATCCGTGAGGTCTTGTGATCTCCGTGTGGTTGCTTTGGGTGGTCATGGTTATGTTGAAGCTCTTCCTATGGATGGGAAACCACCAGATCTGAGGACTCAAGTGGAAGAATATGGTGGTGGTTCTGGTTCTGGCAACAAGGCTTGTGCGGCTGGTTATGGTGGTCACAAGGATGGAAAAGATGTTCCTGAATCTGGTGTTTACGACAAGGAGGATTATCGTGCTGTGGTTTCAATCTGTGAAGGAGGATTTGGGGTTTGGGTATTGTGTATTGACTGGATCTGGTTATCATTCAATGGCTAGATCTGGAAGTTCTCTTGTTGATGCTTCTGGCCTTCGTGACCATGGTTTCACACAACTCTCTGCTATGGATCTGCTAAACTATTGTGAAGGTCAAGCTAGAGGTTATGCTGATGAATCTCATAGTTTAGATGCTGGTTTAAACCTGGTTGGGGGAGATCGAGGTATTGTTATACCTGTTGATCCTGCTGGAGATGTTCAAGGGCTTGCCTCTCGTGAAGTCTCTGTTGATGTGTGTGTTCACCATAGATCTGATGATCAAGATGAATTGGGTGAGACCCGTGACTGTTTTTTGGGTGCGCATCATGAGTCTTTCAAAGATCATCGTGCCCTTTATTTGGATACTGCTGATTCTTCAATTAAGTCTATTACATCTGATGCTGCTGGTATTCTTCGAATATGGTAGATATTTCTGATTTTGCCTCCTCAAAATTGTTAGGTGGACTTATTCATCACAAGGTTTCTGGTGTTGTCAATGGGCCTGGTCTTGTCCATGATCGTGAGGCTTCTTGTGCTCGTGATAAGGGTAAACATGATGTACCTTTGACTGAGCATGATGTTCTTGCTATGGGTGCCGATGGTTCTGCACATCGGCTTTCTAAGGATGTTAGTGTTAATGCTTCCTCAAATTTGCACAATAGTTCTGGTATTTTGATCACAAATGCTGTTCGCAGCAGTGGTATTGGGTTCAATGGTGTTCTTACCAGCAGGAATTGTCGTCAAAGGAACAGCCGCACTTATGGTCCTATGGAGGAGAATGTTAATAATGCTAAAGCCATCATAGGCAAAGGCAAAGGCAAAGGATCTGCTGCTGATCCTATTTCTCTCACAACTATGAATTGTAATAACTCTTATAATCTTTCCAATGGAAAGGAGGAGTTCCCCCCCTTGTTAGCTGCTCCAAAGAATGGGGAGGTCAAGGATTGGGGCCCTAGTAATTGTTGGGACTTGGGTAAGTCCAAGGACCTTTTGTTTGGTCATAAAGGGATTCAAAATGGTATGTGTTATTTTGAGAATCTCGAACTTACTCCAACTGAAACAATCAATGAAAAGTGTTACATGAAAATTGAAGAGGAGCTGGTTGAATCCTGCTTGGAAGAATGGGACAATTGTCTTTTTGGATTTTTTTGGGTCGCAGACCTGAATGGAGGTATATGAAGGACATGTTGCAAAAAAAGTGGAGGTTGAAGAATAACCTTGAAATTTTCTCACTTCAAGATGGTTTTTTAATTTTTTGTTGTAAATCTATGGAGGAAATGGAGATAGCACACACTGGTGGACCATGGCTTGTCAATAAAAAATGCTTGGTATTGCAGGAGTGGGACCCTTCAGTTCGACCCTCGAGACATACATGACAGGAATTCCTAGTATGGATTAAACTTCCTAACCTTCCTCTTGCTTTGTGGGCACCTGGGATATTGTTTAGAATTTCATCCAGTGTAGAAAAGCCTAATTTTATGGATAAACTGACGCAGCTCAGGTCTCGGGCTGAGCCTAGGATCTGTGTTGCTATGGATTTGAATAACCCTTGTTTGAAAGAAGTTTGGTTTGATATCATGGGCAAGGAATATTGCCAACAGATAATATATAGTTTATTCCAACTTCTTGTCTCAAGTGTAATCGACTTGGCCATAGTGCTGAGTTAGGTCGTGCATCCTTGGTTTCAAAGGTTCCATTGAAGTCCAAAGGGGTAGCAAAGAATAGTAGTGATTCTAGTGTTGTTTTGCCCTCGGGTGAGGAGGGTAGGAAGGTTGTGAAGGGAAGAAAGCAACTTGTATATAAAAAGGAGGTGTCTTCATCTTCTAATGGATTTCAGGTTTTGGCTGAGCATAATATTGATAATGGTGAGACGAATTTGGGTGCTGCTGTTCCACACCAGCATGGTGCTATTTTGGAAGGCCTCGAGCATGGTAAGGCAAATTTGGCTATTGCTGCCCAATCTATTGTTGAGTGTGGTGTGGGCCCTAATTTGGGAGACACAAGTTCAATTGCTGGGTACTTTGGAGCTGAGGCTTTGACGAGAGTAGCAGCTGCTACTACTTTGGAGGCAAGAGAACATTCGGGTGTTGAACAAGTGGATTTGTTGGGCGTTGTTGAGATTGGTGTCATGAACAAGACGGTTGTTGCTCCTCTTAATGAGCAAAGAGCCTCTACGAAAGTTGTCCCTGATGCAACTGGTTGTGAGCAGGAGCAAGTAACCGCTGATTTTCAACAGTTGGCAGTTGTAGACGATGTAGGAGAGAAAACCTGGTTGTGACTGATGTTGGTTCTTTGGAGGATAATCCGTTGCCTCAAGTGAAACATATGGATGTTAGTGATGGTATGGGTGTGTCTAATGCTCTCATGGTAGATTATCAGCAGCAAATTGACGTTGAAAACCCCACAGTCACGTCAGTACTAAAATCTGGTATGGCTTTGCCAGATGGGGATGATATAGTGGAATGTCCTAGCAAGTGAGTGCAAGATCAGGCTTTCGGTAAGGGACAAAATAAAGTTCTAACTCGGCTGCAAAAATAAAAGGGTCTTTATTGGTTATTGGCAGAAAGAAGGGGATTCCTGTTAAGGCTCAATGTGTTCCATCAGCTAATGAAGGTAAGGCTTCCTTTATCAAGCAACTTAATCTTTAATATTTTTTATGTCGGTAGTTCCTTGGAATGTCAGAGGCCTTCAAGGTCATGGTAGATTTTTGGATATTGGGGTTCTACAAAATCAGCACAATATTGGTCTTTTACTCTTGTTAGAGTCAAAGCTGCCAATAAATTTGCATCGTGTGTGGTCACGCAAATTGGGATTTTATAATAATTTTATTGCCAATGAGGTTGATGGTAGATCCCTAATTCTTTATTTATGGAATCCTTTAATTTACTGAATCAAAGTGATTAATGTTAATGCTCAAATGATAACTGTTGAGGCCACTAGATTATGCAATGGTAGAATTTCAGTGATTTCAGGGGTTTATGCTTTTAACTTTGTGGTCAAAAAGCTTGTCTTTGGGATCACATGAAGATTATCAGGGCTGCTATTGCAGCTCCTTGGTTGATAGCTCAGAAAGAATGGGGGGTAGCAGTTCTTTCCCCCCAGATTCATGTGATTTTGCTCATGTGATGGCTGATTGTGCTTTAACTGATCTTGGAGTAGTGAGAGGGTGGTTTTCTTGGTTTAATAGTCATCTGATCAGAAGATGCATTAGAAGGATACTGGACCATGCAATAGCAACTATTAACTGGGTTTTGGATTATTCAGAATCCAAAGTCGAGTTACTTCCTAAGGGTACTTCCGGTCATTATCCTTTACTGGTTTATATTTATGACCTGAGTTCGGTTGGTCCAAAACCTTTCAAGTATTTAGAAGGTTATCTCTGCTTCTTGGCAAGGTAGAGTGGGGGGTACGCCCATGTATCGATTTGTTTCAAAGCTAAAGAGGTTAAGGGGTGATTTGCATACATGGAATAAGTAGATATTTGGTTATGTTGGGGAATCTATTGTAACTGTTAGGCAACAGTTGTCCACCTTGCATGAGATACTCATGACCGAAGCAAAAGAATGTACACAGAGATTATAGTTACTGTTGGGATAAGAGCAAAGTTTCTGGAGGCAAAAGTCAAGGCGGATCTGGTTAAAGGATGGGGACTCCAATACCAAATATTTCCATCTATCTTCTGTGGTAAGAAGAAATGACAAAATGATTCTGCGAGGGTTGGTGTACACAAGATTTATGCAAATATTAATGGAGCATGTGAGTGGGGCAAAGGGTCTATGTTTCATCCAAACAGACATCCAAAACCTTTTCCAGAGCACCCGAAGAAAGGCAAGTGTCAAGGGAAAAGATGGACATCCTCTTTTGGCCTACTTTCATGAGCACGTTGAATCAAACCCAATGTTCTTTTACAAAATATAACTTCACGAGCAAGGCCAAGTGTGTAATGTGTTATGGATTGATTTGCACTCGTGGATCTCATACAAACATTTTGGTGATGTAGTCATCTTTAACGCAACATACAAAACAACACAATTTTTTAGTGTGCATTGATGAGCCACGAGACAAAGACTATCTACTAACAGATGGTCCATTGCACATATTTTTCGTGAGGCAAATATGGTTGATGATGCCCTCGCTAAGACTGCATCCTCTGGCCCCGACACTACTATTTGGCATTGTCGTCCACCAGACTTTATTTCTCCTTTGATATTTCATGATCTAATGCAACTGTCATTATAGGGTTGTATAATAAATGTGTTGCATTTCTTATCTAAATTAATGAAAAACTGAGTAGGGGGGCTTCTCCCCCATTGACTTACCCAAAAAAAACGAATTAAGAATCAAGAAGCAAGAAGAAGAAGAAGAAGAAGCAAGAAGCAAGAAGCAAGAAGCAAGCAAGAAGAAGAAGAAAAAGAAAAAAGAAAGAAGAAGCAAGAAGAAGAAGAAGAAGAAAAAAGAAAGAAGAAGCAAGAAGAAGCAAGAAGAAGAAAGCTAGAAGAAAGAAGAAGAAAAGAAAAAGCAAGAAGAAGAAAAGACGAAAGAAGAAGCAAAGAGAAAAGAAGAAAGAAGAAGCAAGAAAGCAAGAAGCAAAGAGAAGAAGAAAAAGAAGAAGGTGAAGAGAAGAAGAAGAAGAAGCAAGAATCCAAAAGAGGAAGAAGAAGAAAAAGAAGAAAGAAGAAGCAAGAAGAAGAACTAAGAAACAAGAGAAGAAGAAGAAAGAAGGCGAAAGAAGAAGAAGAAGAAGAAGAAGAAGAAGAAGCAAGAAGCCAAAAGATGAAGAAGAAGAAAAAGAAGAAAGAAGACGCAAGAAGCAAGAAGAAGAACTAAGAAACAAGAAGAAGAAGAACAAAGAAGGCGAAGGAGAAGGCGGAGAACTAAGAAACAAGAAGAAGAAGAAGAAAGAAGGCGGAGGAGAAGGCGGAGAACTAAGAAACAAGAAGAAGAAGAAGAAGAAGAAGAAGAAGAAGAAGGCGGAGAACTAAGAAACAAGAAGAAGAAGAAGAAAGGAGGTGGAGGAGAAGGCGGAGAACTAAGAAACAAGAAGAAGAAGAAGAAGAAGAGGGAGAAGGAGGAGCAGAAGGAAGAAGAAGGAGAATGAGAAGAAGAAGGAGAACAAGAACAAGGAGAAGGAGAAGGAGAAGACGTGCAAGCCCAAAATTGAAGAAGAAGTAGAAGGAAGGAGAAGGAGAACAAGAAGAAGGAGAAGCAGAAGGAGAACAAGAAGAAGGAGATGAAGAAGATGTACATGCTCAATATTGATGGTGCTTCCATGCAAAATCCTGGTTTTGCAAGTGGTGGTAGGGTCATCAGGAACAACACTGGTGGCTTTATTGCTGCTTTTACAAAACATTTTGGTATTGCTTCCAATAACCTCGCAGAGTTCTTGGCATCTACTTAGCTATTCAGAGGGATTGGGCATCTACTTAGCTATTCAAAGGGATTGCTTTCCAATCTAAGATAGAAAGTGATTCGGCTTTGCTTGTGAATATCATTCAAAATCGATGCCGTGCTCTATGGCGGCTACAGACGATTGCTGATAATTGCCGAACAAGACTATCTACTAACAGATGGTTCATTGCAGATATTTTTTGCGAGGGAAATATGGTTGATGATGCCCTCACTAAGAGCACATCCTCTGGCCCCGGCGCTACTATTTGGCGTTGGTCGTCCACCAGACTTTATTTCTCCTTTGATATTTCATGATCTGACGTAACTGCCTTATTATAGGGTTGTATGATAAATGTGTTTCTTTTCTTATCTAAATTAATGAAAATATGGGTAGGGGGCCTTCTTCCCCACTGACTTACCCAAAAAAAAAAGAATTAAGAATCAAGAATCAAGAATCAAGAAGCAAGCAGAAGTAGCAAGAAGCAAGAAGAAAAAAGAATAAGAAGATGAAGAAGCAAAAAGAAAGAAACAAAAAGAAGAAGAAGAAGAAGAAAAAAGAAGAAAGAAGAAAGAAGAAGAAGAAGAAAGAAGAAGCAAGAAGAGGAAGAAGAAAGAAGGAGAAGAAGAACAAAGAAGAAGAAGAAGAATGATAATGAGACATCTTTCTTCCCTCCATTGTGCACTAATGTCAATGGAGAGTTCGATTTAGCAGATTCAGTCCCCCCACCTTGATTGTGTAATAATGCCACTAGAGAACTTGGTTTATCAAATTCAGTCATCCCACCATTTTCCTTGCCTCTATTGTGCACTAGGGGAGCCTTTAATAGTGAGACAACGATGCAAGAAGAAAGAAGCAAGAAGAAGCAAGAAGAAAGAAAGAAAGATGAGGAAGAAGAAGAAGAAGAATAAGAAGAAGAAGAGAGAATCAAGAAGAAAGAAGCAACAAGAAGAAAGCAGAAGAAGAAGAATAATAAAGAATCAAGAAGAAAGAAGCAGCAAGAAGAAAGAAGAAGACATCTTCCTTCCCTCTATTGTGCAGTAAAGCTAATAGAGAGCTCGATTTAGCAAATTCAGTCTGTCCACCTCCATTGTGCAGTAATTTCAATAGAGTGCTTGATTTATCAAATTAAGTCCCCCCACCGTTGAAGCAAAAAGAAGATTCTCTTATGCTTGGAAGAAGAAGAAGAAAGAAGCAGAAGAACAAGCAAGAAGCAAGGAGACGAAGCAAGAAGAAAAAGAAGCAGCGAGAAGCACGAAGCAAGAAAAAGCAAGAAGAAAGAAAAAGAAAAAGAAGATGAAGAAAGAAAAAGAAAAAGCAAGAAGATAGAAGAACGAAGAAACAAGAAGCAGAAGGAGAAGGAGAAGAAGAAAAATGAAGAAGCAAGAAGAAGAAGAAGCAACAAGAAGTAAGAAAAAGAAAAAGTAAGAAGAAAGAAAAAGAGGAAGAAGAAGCAAGATGCAAGAAGAAGAAGAAGAAGAAGAAGAAGAAGAAGAAGAAGAAGAAGCAAGACGAAGAAGCAAGAAGCAAGACGAAGAAGAAATAAGAAAAAAGATGCAAGAGGGGAGAAGCAAGAAGAAGAAGAAGAAGAAGAAGAAGAGGAAGAAGAAGAAGAAAGAAGAAGCAAGAAGCAAGAAGCAAGAAGCAAGAAGAAGACACAAATGACAACAAGAAACCCAAAAAGGTGGAGGAAGAAGAAGAAGAAAAATAAGACACAATTGGCAACAAGCAACCCAAAAAGGAAGTAGAAGAAGAATAAGACACAATTGGCAACAAGCAACCCAAGAAGAAGAAGAAGAAGAAGAAGAAGAAGAAAAGAAGAAGAAGAAGAAGAAGTGGAAGAAGAAGAAAACGAAGAAGAAGAAAAAGGAAGAAGAATAAGGAGAAAAAGAGGAAGAAGGAAGAGAAAGAAGGAAGAGGAAGAGGAAGAGGAAGACGGAAGAGGAGGAGGAGGAGGAGAGAGAGAAGAGAGAGAGAGAGAGAGAGAGAGAGAGAGAGAGAAGAGAGAGGAGAGAAGAGCGAGGAGGAGAGAGAC